CTCGTTCGTTCTCACTAAAGAACCAAGGAGGAAGAGGTTCTATAGAGCCGTACTGCAGTGACTGCAGTAACAATTCACATCTTAAGTTGTAGTAGCTTTAGCAGCAAGCTTCCACACTTTAATTTCGAGTTATTGTAAGAGCTGAATGAATGTAAGAGCTCAGTTTGGTTTTATTTGCACTGATGTTTTTTTCAACAACACCCTTTGACGAATCTCATTCAGCGTTCATCTGCACTGTTCTAGTAATTAAGAGGTTGCGATGGTGGGTGGTCATCCTCCTTCTCACCTGCCTACAATGGTAACAAGAAGAGTTTGAGGAACACGATGTTGTTCAGTGGATGAGCCACTTTATCTGAACAGCCCTAGCGCTTATTCATTCCTATGCTCCTTTGTTCAACTGGGTACTGGATTGCCAGCAGACTGTTGCCCAGTGCTTCCCATTGCAGAATAGGCAGTTCTTTGAAGGGCGGGTCTGTTCCGCCATCCGTTGATCTTTTGTTGATAGTTCTGTGGATTGCCAGCCGTCCAGGCTTTCTTGTCTGGGCCCTTGTCGGCTGCACATTTGCTCCAGTTTTCTCCGGCAACATCTTCGCTGGCCTAGTTTCATGGAATGCTGGCGGTTTGCCAGTTCATTTTCTGTTTTTTGGAAAAATTACTAATGAGTATAAGGTGAAGTTCAAGCCAACTGCAGTAAGAGCGGTCTATCGCGGCCATCTAAATGTGGAATTCCATTCAAAATCATTGCGCACAAGAGATGGTTATGTATGAGAGTGTGAAAAGAGATGAAGACGATGAAGCATGATGTAATCGAGACTTTCCGTACGATCAATTCAAGCTAGGTTGTCCGAAACCAAAGAGAAGTTGAGCATTATACGTCTAAATCTCAGTCCAAGTATCTTACCTTTCACTTATTTTCTTAAAATTCAAACTTTGCCGGGCGGAAGGTCCTGTGACGTGTCTTGCTCTCCTCTCCATCTTCCTCCAGAGATGGTAGCTCCAACTGATTGCCGCGCAGCATTTTCTTCTTGAGATACCTCTTTTACTGGGTTCCATCACGTTTTACCTTCTTCCTCTGATACTGCAAACGATTGCCCGATGTTCCCCATCACGAAAAACTCATTTATCA